TACTGGATATTTTGGGAGTTGAGCTCTCTGCCCTCATGAGCTGCCCCTCTTGTTGGGAAGACAGAGAGAAAATGAGGTGAAGAAATGAGAGAACTGATAGGACACTGGTTACAACAGCAGATAGCAGGCTGTAGCAGGGCTGGTACAGGCCAGGCCATCTTTGTGCAGAGGAGCAAAGGCCGCCGAGGAGGAGGCACTCTTTAGCTAGGACCTGAGATGCTGAGGAGGACCCAGCAGTAGGAGAACAGCACAGAACTTCAGGTGCCTTTTGGATTGGAAAGTGCAAAAGCCCTGGGGTGTAGGAATCCATTCATCTGGTTGCAGAAATGAGGAAAACATAGGAAGATAAGAGCTGGGTTAGGTGGTGGCTCATCTGCCTGGCTGTCCAACGCCCCACCCCCGAACTACAGTAAGAGCCTTTATTTATACTTTTACAAAGATGTAAGACACAAGGTTGGTTCATGACTAATAGCCCACAGTGTTCAAGCAGGATGTTTTTCTCAACACTGAAGTAGCTTGACTGCAAAGGCAATAAGGCCTCATCCTGCCTTCCCACAAAGGATCAATTTCAGCCTCATGGCTCCCAACATAGGGGCCTTACAGACCTTGGTGAGATTTGCTGTGAGAACAGGGAGTGGTCATGTTTTTCTGTGGTGTTTGAATTTTTGTTTTTTCACCAACCATGGATTCCTTCAAACTCAGTAAAAAGAAATTAAAAACTTGAAAAGATTCATAAATCAAGAAATGAGAAATAAATAAATAAATAATTTTTAAAAAGGGGGGGCTGGTGAGATGGCTCAGTGGTCTAAAGCACCTACTTAGAACAAGCTAAACTAAGCAAAGCACAGGGACCGCAGTTCGATCCCCCAGCACCACATGCCAGCCAGCCCCGCCCCCTGGTGGGCTGAGCCGGCCACACACACAAAATAAATGAAATAAATAAATAATTTTTAAAAAAAATAAGTGTGGTGGCACACACCTATAATCTCAGCACCTCATAGGCTGAGGCAAGAGGATTTCCAAGATCTGGAAGCCAGTCTGGGCTACATAGTGAGACCCTGTCTCAGACAATCACAAAGAAAGAGAAGAAAGTTGAAAATAGTTTTACAATGTCTGTGTGTGTGTGCGTGTGTGTGTGTGTGTGTGTACTTGAGGCCAGAGCTGAGGGCCTCATGCATGCCAAGCACACACTTCCACTGCACTCTGCTTATTTTGTTTCCTTCTGAGCTCAGATCTTGCCGTGCAGCTCAGGTTGGCCTGAAACTCACAGTGCTCCTGCCTCAGCCTTCCTACGGCTAGGACTGCAGCTTGGTACCATTATGCCTTGTTGTATGAAATTAGTGTGAGCCAAAGGAAATAATGAAGACTGGATTAATATTGCTACAAGGGAGTCACGGGCTTAGTCTGGCTATAAGTGAATCTCCAGCCACCAAAATTTCTCACATTTATTGAGAGCTAAAAACAAGCCAAGGAATGTGCTTAGCTAATTTTGTGCAAACAAACTATTAATCCAAGTTGCCTACTGGCATTTACCAAACTCTAGTTCACACAGCACCAGCCAGTAATATCCCAGGTGAAGGATCAAAGAACAGACAAGGCCTCTTTAGGAAATCTTATTATCTGTCACCTTGTATCCCAGATTGCCAGAATTTACAAGACACAACAGGTGTCCTTAAGGCTGTTTTTTTGTTCTGTCCCAAG